TTGCTCTATTTCGGGCGTTCCAGATCTATCTCGTCATTCTGAGGACGATGCTGAGGTTATGACGCCAACGATTTAAACGTTCGACCCTCGTGTCAAAGCCGTGGCTCTTAAGCCACCTTTGTATGGCTACGCGTTACATCCAGGTTGAAATTAGCGTCATCGACAAGGTATGGCTTGATGAGACCTACGAATAAGCTGGATGTGTCTTTAGCCAGATTGGCAGGTCGATAGTATAAGCATTTCCATGGCATGACACGACGCAGAATAAATTGATGAAGCGAGTAATATCTTCCAGCTTCTCGAGCTTGAGACCACATCGTCTGACAGGTCTTAGTACTCAGAAGTACATAATACTCCACAATAAGAGACATTTTGTCGTGACGATCTTGTCTAATTTACACCTTTTGGAGATTGCGCATTTGCCATTGCCTCTCGCACCTGTGATCACATCCACACGACTCACGATGAAGGAGTCCAGGGCGTCCTGGTACGTGCGCTTCGAATTTGTATCATTCATTGTATCAATTTGGAAAGCACGAATTGCTGAACTCATCCTCCACTTAGACTTATATTAGCGACACCACCCATCGCACAAAGTGGTTCTGGCGGGTATTCTTCAAGAATGTCATAAATTCAGTGAATAAATAAACTGATTTGTTCATAACATACTTTACCAATGGTAATAACAAGTCTATACTGCGGGAATTTTGCACAGAAGCTAGACATCACCGATTACTCGGTTGGCACTTTCTGTTTGCTCATCGGTTTGCGGGTATACCGCTGTGGACATACAAAAGCGAGTGCCAAGAATTTGAGACAATACTAAAAGCCACTAGTAAATCGCGTACCCTTGATCAGAGACATGGCGTCTGGCAACCCATGATTGCAAAAAACGTGATCAACGAACAATCTAGCCGATCCTTCAGCATCGAAGGAATCGATAAAAGGAGCGATGCGAACCATTCCGGTGAGTCCGTCAACAAAAACGAGCACCCCATTGTGGCCATCAGCATTCTCGGAAAGCCAAAGAAAGGTAGACACCGACTGAATTCAACCGTCAGAAGGAATAAGAAGGCTCTACAATGGCACTTGCGTGCGCCGTGCGCTCTTCTCGATCGGACATACATTGCATTTTTTATATGTATCGTGCCACCCATTTGTACATTTTGGCCACAAAAATGCGCACTGACAGACAGATATGTCTTCTCACGGCCAAAGTGACCGGTCATCGGCGTATCATGCGCCTCGTACACTATCTTGTACTTCAAATCATCGTTGTGGGGAGCCACAATGCGTGACTCCTCGTCATGCGCAACTTCATAGTAAAACAGACCCCTTTTTAATGCATAATTATTCAATCTTGACTTCAGGCGACCAGGAAGCCTGTCATGGAATTGAATAGAATTCGATGACGGTGCTCTGGTGATCAGATCTCACTGTTCACTCTCAACATACGCTCGACGTATCATATCAAATTTATCGTTTTTGATTTAGCTGGTATATAGGTAAATCTTAATCAGGACGACACGATAATGATCCATCGACCAGAACAAGTGCACAAAACTGTGTACAGCAGTAAATGATAACATTCCTAAGTGAAATCGGTACTTGCACGGAAATCATCTGTGCATTCAAATTGTTATAAGTGCTCCATTTACGCATTCAACTTGATGTAGGTGTGAACCATACGCCGTTTTCCACTTGGTTTGCGCACACATAACGTCGGCGCGCTGTGAAGAATTTGCTCTCCCTAACCAAACTCGCACCTCGCTTTTGAGCAAAAAGCTCATCGATATACTCGCGTGCTCACGGGACGATGTCCACGTCGAAGCACTGCATGCTTTGAACCAGGGTCACGATCAATGTCGTGTCGAAATCCCGCTCGGGTGGAAAACCAGAGGCCGAATTTGCATTAAGGACGTCATGATTGATTTCCATAACACGTGAATAATAAGGATCAGTTGGATCCTTCAAAATAGCATTCCCTCTGTGTGAGGCCACACGCTGTCAAAATTTCTCGAGAATCAAATCATCCATAACTGATGATGAGCGTAGTTTCACTGAATCAACCTTCGACTGTATCAGGACGACCTCCGCAATGTCATCACACTTGAGGCCGTGTAGGAAGTCAAGTGACTTCCTTGAGCTGCACCAGCCCTTACGTCGTCGGCAATAGTATCAAAAGGATATCTGTTCTGATGACTTCACAATCGGTCGTTTTATTCACAATACGTGGACCATCGTATCGACATGCTACATTTTCATCATGGGGGGAAGTACGCTGGACTTACTTCCCGTGGACTCAATCGAGACCAGAGTGGGAGTATCCGTACCGAGATCAACAAATTCCATTGTTTCCTTCACATGTTTTTGCTCAATCACACAACGTGTGAATGCATCACCTTTGTGGTCAGTTGTACCCACTTATCCATAATCCGACTCGACCACTCTATTAGTGGGAGTATTAGTATATGCAGCCACAGACGTACAGGTCGACAACATTCTTCTTTTTTTAGGGGGGCAACAATTGGCACCTCTCCTTCCTAAATTCTTTCCGCTGGTCGAATTGCCATGCCCACCTATGATTTATTCGTTTTCAAGTTGCCAGTTCTAGGCACCACTTGGTCTATCGACACTTTTTTTGGGTGACCATCCGTGGCCACTCCATACGACTCCGTATCCCCCCTAATCTGAGAAATGTCAATCGCATGACACCAAATATCAGGAATATCGAACGCTCCCACTGAACGGATGGACACATTCTTTGACAAACAGCTAGCACGATGCATGACAACAAGATTCATGCTTATGTGGAGCCACAATACAAGCGTTATATTTTACGGCTCACGTAGGCATCGTCGAACATTGGAGAGCTTGTGTTGCAAGGTGGTGAAGAAGACAACTAATTGCCTTTCTTTATTTTTGTTAAACAAAGACAACAGTTCCCATGAGGTGAAAAACTATCAGTTTAATCAGTTTGAATTACTGGTCGATATGTGAGCCGAGGAATGTCGTTTTGAATGGCCTTTTAGGGGTCAAACAGCAAAAGAAGTTTATCTTTCCCCAAACTGGGGCACTGTAAATGATACACATGACAAGTATGCACGAGTTGTATGCACTGCTAAATTTCACAACATCAAAGAGACCCGAAAGGATGTCTGGGCGAATTCTGTTACCTTTGATGGGTTGACTGATATTTGCAAAACTTCATACATTGATGTGAGGATCCGCTTCCCAACATTCACAAATTAGTAGTCCCATTCGACGGAAGCGACACAGAAAAAGCCATAAACGAAATGTTTAAGAAGCACAGCTGCATTTTGCTGTGACTAGCCTCAAAAGACGATCGGATGTTTTCCAGACGGAGCGGCGAATGCCGACACGTATCGAGCGTTGTTTCTAATCAAGATACTGTTACAAAATGAAGCTTGAGGCTGTGTTGATGCTTGTACATCAGATTGGCATCGTTTAACAAAAGATATCTTAAGCACTCGACAATTAACGATTTTACAATTCGTTAACAGCATAAGTTGGGCATTCGAGGAAACAGAAACGATACTGTGACCAATGACAAGCGGTATGTTCCCTATGGCGGCGACGCGCTGGGTTTCCATGAGCCGCGATAGTTGGTGGTTGTGGGAACATCGTCAAGAAATATTCGACTGCTTTGAAAGTATTTGCAATGAAGGAGGCAAATTGCTGTAATACCTTCCTGATTTGAAATGGTGGAGATTGCTTGCAGCTGTCAATGATGTTTCCTCTCTGATCACTTATGTTGTCGATGAATTGCTAGGACTTGCCGTTTTTCTGACCTTGCAGATGGCTGGAATCACACAGCTAATCGCGAGCCTGAAAAGAAGTATTCTGTTGCAGGCTAATCGAAGGAAGACAACGCGTTATCCTTAGATCTCAACCAGTACATTGTTGCTGAATGTTAGGCTGTTGAGAGGGACGAGATGATTAGATTTTGCAAGACCAGGGAATATTTGCAATTCAGCCTCTCAGGCATCTTTCAGAAACAGCTATAAGATTGTGTACTTTGCGTTACTGGCTTCCTGCTCGACGATTTGTGCGGGCAGTCCTCTCCGGCAGCCATATACCGTCAATGACTTTTGTCACCTCAGTATGTGATGCTGTTACGTCCACAAATCTGGTATTAATCTACCACTGTCGTTTATCGTATTGTTGGTGTGTACAAAAGCTTTGGCTTCCAGCATAAGCAGTTTGTTGATGCAACCGTAAAGGTGACCCGTTCAAAGCATACTTGAAGACACTGTGCAATTTAGGTGGCCTGGTCATTACCCCGATCTAGAAATTGCTTTCCAGAGCTTGTGAGATTCTTGAAAGGCTTGTCTACACTACTTCCAAATACTGCCTCACTACGATTTGATTTTTTTCTTACAAAAGTGGGAAGATGATTTCCACCGCAGCTCATTCACGTCCTTTGTGCGAAGGAATACCGCATTCGAGGCAGTTTATCACCAAATTCAAATAAACTCTCTCATTTTGTTGACTCCAGGTTGCATTTATGCCGTTTATTGACTCAGTTACATGCCGTTTTTATTAAAATTAATAATTTGTGTAATTTGCCTTACAACGGTTCGATTAAATAATGGAACAAGGTAAGGCTAATGCAAGCAGGCTAATATTTCTAACTTAAGGAGCGTACAAGCGAAACGCCGCCGACACTGCGGGTGGCGAGTGCATATTAAGCCTCAACACGTGTTGAGGCTTAATATGCACTCGCGTTCAACTACCAAGTATGGCTGGTGTTGTCTTTCATTTTGTACGATAATTGCGATGTTAGACTCATGCCAAGCTAGATTTTACCAGTTTAGTAGTCAATCAGATTCATATACATACTACATGATAATTGTATAAAAACGCAAAATACGAAAGGTTCATATCTTCTGGTTTGATTATTTACGGCAGCGGAGTTTCCGCAGTATGGCTAGACCAGCAGAAAAGGAAAATTAAAAATGTAACATAGTTTCCATCGATTACAGCCTAATAGTTGGCGTCGGGGACGTGGTGATAGCTGTAATGGCTATAGGAATGGAGCTCAGGATGTAGATGGTTGTGGTAGTAGTGAGGTTCATGGTGATAGGTTCTGCGGTAGTACACACCCTCCTTCGAATCATAGCTGTAGTCATCGCTTATGTCATCGCTGTAGTCAATGCTGAAGTCATCACTGAGAATATCACTATCGTCGTCATCACTCCACAAGCGATTTTCACGAACTTTTTTTACTTTGGGGGTAGCTGAAACGTGATTTTCGCTCGATGTCTCGGTATGAACGTCAGTGGTCGCTAGATTACGATTAGTGTCGACGGTTACGTCGGCGGTTGATGCCCCCCTTAGTGCTTTGGGAGTTGGGTCTTCAACAGTAAGCGAAACCGCGTTTACGAGTGTGGCCGCAATTCCTGCGCACAAGACTTGAAGGCAAAGGCGCATTGGTGTCGTGTCGAATAAAATTGAATGTGATACAGGGGGAAAAATTCGAAATGACTTTATATTCCAGCCATGGCAGACTCCAATTGCACAGAGGCGAACATGATGAAATTCTCAGCTGCTTACGTCTTTAAATGGATCTAAAATACTGGTCCTGAAAGCTTCAATCAGCTGCTTGAATCCACAAGCTTATTGCTGATACAGTAGTTTCGATCAGCCCATCACCTGATTTGTCAAGATTTTGAGAATCCTTACACATTGAGGTCTCTGGTACTAATGATAGACATCTATGGCGAAAAGATGATGGTATCTCTGTACTTTAGCAATGTATTAAAAAAAAGACTAATCTCATGATACATCCAGGCTTCCAAGCTGTCTCTCATGTAATCAGACATTTCTTTTTGTTGTTGTGCAAGAATCACATCACATGTTCGGTGCAGTTTCTGCTCGCCGAGCTGCTTAGGTTCACGAACCGGATGTATTATAAATTTCTTGCACATCATATGTCAGAAAGCGTATCGATTTCGCCAAAAATGTACGAGAAACATGGAATACAGCTACATTTGTCATTTGTCCCTTAAGTCATCTTTCTGATACCGCTACTGGCTCTTGGGGAGGGATAGAAATGCACAACATAGACACATCCGTGCCCAAATAAACTTTCTGTTCTGTATCAAGTTTATGCGCCTCTAAAATAAAAATTTGCACAATCACAACGCTGATGAGGTCAACTTTGCAGTCATGTTATAATTTGTTGCGCAGGATCCAAAGCGAAGATTTTCAGCCCTATCGATGTTGTATGATATTGATGACAAAATCACAATTTCTCTGTAGGAATATAGCGTATGTGCTACAGTACTATTCTAAAATTCTGGAACTCTGAAGTACAATGAGATAAGGACTTACGCATGTGCATCGAATACATCTGATAATTTGCAAAATAAAAATGCTCATGTATTGCATCCATTCATCGGACCAGATCTAACGTAAGAGCTTTCGTGTCGTTTATGAATCGACGTGGTACAATCTAAAGACGACAAATATTGTCGTTGGATGTTTAATATATATGAGAGACGAAGAAGGTGTAGTAGCAACACGGCTGTGATACTTTTAACTAGCGAAGCAGTTTACCGAGTAGTGTTAGGGCAGTTAAAAGTCAACGAAGTTCTAATACTAATGATATATGAGTCTACATAACAAAGTAGCTGCGTACTTGTGAGACTGTTACAATATTGTGCCATCTCCAAGTAACTTCAAACAATACTTGATTTTGATGGTGCAGAGATTTCCAATGAGTCTCTTAAGAAATAAGCACCATATGAGGTCGTCATGCCTCATAGAGTTTACACTTGATGCTGCGGTTCATATATGGTATATCCAAGGCGAAAGAGAAGCTATTCAATTAAGAGCTTTGGCAGCTTCTCAGTTTCAATTTTCATAGCGGTCTTGTCTCCGTAGTTTCGAATAATAGTAAAGACGTCGTGCTGTGCAATGTCGTCAACCAAACCGTTTAGCAACGACGTCAATTCATGCACATCAACATGAGTTTGGTTTTTCTGAACTTCGTTAATGCGAGCTGCAAGCAAATCCTTGTCCACTAGTGTGTGCACTTTTCGAAGCACAGCAAGTTTGTCCGATCGTGCGAAGCTGACAGGTCGAGCTTCCATATACTTCGCGCTATACTCATCCATTTCAAAAAGCAAAAAAATCTGACCTGCCATACGAACTCGAGCTCCAATATAGAAATCATTCAAATTAAGCCACGATGTCTGGCCATTTGTCATCACAACTGATCCATCTTGACGAGTGCGCTTGATACGCGTGCGCTCCAAAAACTTACCACCAACAATACCAGAATTGCGTTGGGCAAGCTCAATGATTGACACGCTCTGATCGGATACCGTGATCGAGATAACAAAGCGACGCGCTATATTTTCAGGTTGATCGGTCTCGAAGCGACCACGAAAGCGCAAAACTTCTGTCCTATCAAGAGATTCAATGCTTTTGAGTGGAGCTTTTGGCAGCAAACGGTAGCACGACTGCAGCGAATCCTCCTCGGAGCCCAAACCATCATGGCTTGGTGGTATGAAGGTAGGCGCAGATAATTCCCCTTCCTTGACAATGATAGCGGGAGCAAGCGATTTGTTTCGCCTTTCATACCATGAACGCGTAGACGCATCGGCGTCCAACAAGAGGATTTGTCGATTATAGATGTGCAAATATTTACCAATTGCCAAATCTTCCCACGAATAATAACTTTGCGGTGGGGCCTGCTCATCCTCCGTTCTTTCATCGCACACAGCAGCACAAGCTTGACGTTTCGGATCCTTTAAGAGTTTCGTTCGATTCAACAGTTTTGGAAACGGATCACAACCTGAATTGCGATCGTAAGATTCGAGAATTTCGATTGTGTTGTCGGCCAAGAAGAAGTGCAGCGTATATCGGTGGCGAATACCAAAGGTCTTTTCAGTGTCATCCCAAATAGCAAAAAATCGCAGCACCTCGCGGTCATGAGCCAGAAATCGACGAAGATGGTCACTAGGCCGCGCAAACTTACCAAGTGAAGCCTCCATAAAGTCCTTCATCGGATATTTTTTCTTGCCGTAGTGTGCATCTTGATCCTGTCCAGTCTCACGGGCCATATGTGCTTGACGTAGAATTGTGTAAGGGTCCCGCGGAACAGGCTCGTTAGGTGGTACATTTACTCCTTGAGAATTAAGATAATTGCGAGTAAAGTCGTCAACCGAGATGAGATGAAATGTCCGACCATAGAAAGTCACCTCTTCACCCACGTTTAGATGACGCACCGTGTAATACTGAATATTACCCTGCTCGTCACTTTCCAACATTGGTATGCGGTGCCGCTTGACAAAGTTGCCCTGCAGAATACCGCTATTCTCAATTTTAGGCTCTGTGATCTGCAGCGTATCATCTTCAAGATAATAAAGTACTTCGCAACGTCGTACTCGATAATTTTCGAGATTACTCTCGTGCACAGCTTCTAAAAAATATGCTTCGAAACGCAGGACTTTTTTATCAAAAACAATGAAGTTTGGGTGAAAAGGGCTGGTTGACATGCGCTCGGATGTATTTAACAACGTGCTGCTTCCGATATCACCTTGGCGCTCTAGCTCTCGAATATAGAATGACGCAGGTTTGGTGTTTCCTAAGGTATGGCTACGTGTTTTAGGCGTTGTATCTCCATGCCGTCGGAAAATCATCGGCACTACTTTTTCTTTCTCAAGCATTGCGGAACTCGGCATGGGTTTCGAGATAGCCGGCTACGAGGTGCGAGTGTCGAAAGGATAGTTCGGGTATGAAAGTAGTTTTTAGCGCGTGCTGGTAAGATTCTATTTATGATTCGAGTTGCTATTAGATATACTCTTGCAGCTATTGTGATTACGTTTCGTCTATATACTTAGGCAGAATTATCAAAGAAAAGGATATAAGCAACCGATTTTGGTTTACATGCATATCGTCCGTCCGCGACCTCTGAATCATTCATACATGTCAAATATAATTTCGAATTCGCTAGGGATCAAAACCTAGTTGCTGGCTTATAATGATAGCTCACAAATTAGAAAATCATCTTCACATTATCCATTTGTATTTATCGGTCGTAAGCCGTCGTAGATTAAGCTCGTAAAAGACACACTTCCTCGTGGGCGCCAAACTTTGTATCGACCCCATTCATCGAGTCTATAAGTCCTACTATAACCGCAGATAGCTACATATATCTGTATCAATCCAGCTCTCATTGTCCCTCCATGAGGGATGTACCTTGGTAACTAGAAGCAGGTGAATGTCCCGCTGAGATCCAGACTAGTTCGTACACTGGGCGAGAAAAACACACTGCCTCACCCGCCTCCATGAGACAGGTGTATGAGCAACCAACCAGCGGTACTTTCACCGCAAGGTTCTAATGAGAAGCGCACAGCAAGGGGTGATAATGCCTCTTCTCTTAAGGTGCTAAATTCGGATGGGGACAATGTATATCGATCCCCCGTGGCTGGTATGAGACCTCTCTCTGTCACGGCGACACATTAACTTTCTATGAGCGTCAAGGTGTGCATCCGAGGCTGAGATGAACCAGATTTCGGGATTGATATCTGATTTTAGCCTGAATTGAGTCGCCCTCAGCGACTCAAACTGCGTTGCCATCTTGGAACAGAAAGCAGCTCAGACTAGGGAAATGGTACAGACATTACCGAGTCTACAACGGATTGTCACGCTTGATTAGTTCGAGATATGGTTTGTTATATGGAATCAGTAAGCCCGTATAAAACACTGGGTCATAGCGGAAAAGGGATTGAGTGTCACTGATTTTTTTTATGAAATTGCAAGCACCAACGTGCCCGCGTTAAAGCATTACAAATTGGTGGCGGAGGTGGGCGCATGATTTTATCAGTGTATTAGCAGGAGAAACGTGCGAGCGCCCCACGCTTTCAAATTCCAGTCATTTCATGGGTTTTGGTGTAGTATTCGATTCACGCCATCGCTATAGTGGGGTCGTATCTCGAATTGTAATCCGAGACTGGACAACGTTCTTATCTGTAATATCGTTTAACTATCACTTGAAGATTCGACATAACCTTAAGCACTTTGAACCATTTTCCTGTCGCGAGACACACGGGTACTGTGTCCGTATTCGGCATCTTTAATGCCTACTCGTACTGTAACAACTCCTGCCAAACGCGCGCTATACGCTCTAGCACCAATCCATCAAGACTTCCCTCGCGAAGCATTTGTCGCTCAACATAGCATGTAAGTCCGACCCTCCGCATCTCCCAATCGACAGCGAGGTCAGCATGCAACGCACAGATGCTTTTTTACTATTGTCAATGATATGTCAGCGGAGATCGTGGATGTGTCGGGCAACTAAGAGATCTCTCATCGTGGCTGGAGTATATCGACCTTTGGCACGCTCGTAGCTCTTCCATTTTCAGCATCCCATCCTCCCCTCACGCCACGAAAATTGTACTCCGCACTAGATGCAATGCTCACCACTTGCTCGAACAAAGTACGGTGAAAATGAAAGTTTCAGCACAAACGCACGCTTTCGGATACCCTCTGTGAAGGTCGTAACCAGTACCGCCTTCACGAGCAGGTCAGATGCCATTGTTTCGGTGTGAGCTTTCAGCACCTTTTTTGTCAGTTTTTGCATTCCTTGACGGACAGACAAGTGCTCAAGCGCACCCAGTCATATTATAACTCGTGGGTGCTATGGTCGATGAGATCCAACTTTAAAGGAATGACTCTCGTTAAGAGCGATTGGGGATACAGCCCAGGTTGTTGGCTGTCAACGTCAACCTTCCGGGCTTTTTACAGCCGTTGAATGTCGCAAAAGATCCAGGAGTGCTGTGCAACTGAGTGCGACGCACACCTGGCGACAACAGATACAGACTGCACGTACCGAATACATTGCGTTTCACGGTTCCTTTTCCCGGTCTTCGATTCGACATTTCGTTTTCGATTGCACAAACGAGCGGTGAGAGGGCTATTTATCTGCTAGGATGGAACAAAAAAATGATTGACTACTCTTCCCAAAAGGTAGACTAACTTAGCAAGCTTTTGTCTGTACTGAGTCCCTAAAGCAACAGGGAATTGGCGGCCAAAGGGCTGGAAGCGGAAATTGCTCGCCTGGAGGTGCTTACCAGCTTAGAGATTGCATTAGAGAGCCACCTCCAGGAGCCTGCAGATACCTGCGACATATGTCGCTTCAAGTTCGTCTCACGTTGGCATTTTTTACTGAAGTTTTCGACGCTAGCTCCCATACTCCGCCTCCTAGTTTGGATACCATAAGTGCGACGCACTGCCGCTTTGTTTGGAGCATGGTTCAATCCATATCCATCAAAATTTGCCAGATTTAATGAAAGTATTTCCTTTTTTTCGGTTCGGCTTTAAAAGCCTTAATGCTCAACATCAGCGGTCTCACGGAAGAAAGCATCTGTTTCTCCACCGGCGCCCAGTTAGGGTGGGTATTTTCCAATATGCACACGGCGGCCTTCTAGAATTTTGCCCCGATGGGTTTGTCGGACGACTTTGCGTGGACTTTGCGTGAGAGTCCTACCCTTTGTAACCCGCAAATCAGATCGTAGGGGCATACAAAGCTTTGTTGTTTTGTAATCTCACAGATAGAAGAGTTACGAGTGTCGCGAAACTGCTCGCAGGCAAAAACTTCTTTCTTGTCAGATGACTAAACTTCATCGAATCTGGAGCGCAGAACGGATTTCAATCCGTTACGTTCACACCACGAAATTGTGTCTTGTGTTTAACGCAACACTCACCGCTTCCGGTAACAGGTAGGGTAGACGCGAATGGTCAAGGCGCCCACTGCAGCTTTTTGGAAACGCTCCATAAACTGTTAATGTATCCAAATAAGTCTCTGATTTCTTTGCAGCGATAAAGCTATCACCAATGCCACCCCTCCTTGACGGGTGATCAATAACTTCAATGCGCTCGTTACTCCTGATAAATCTCCCGCGACATATGTCGGCTCAGATCTCTCATATTTGGAATGCTTTTCTACTAACAAATTACATCTTGGCTTCAATTATTGCGAGCAGTCGTCAAGCATGTTCCCCGCAAGTTCGACACAGTGTTGCTCTGTTTGAGCATGACTGATATCCATGTCCATCTCCTTGTTCCTCATCTATAGGGAGTGTTCTACCTACCCCTGCCTTGAAAGTTCGAAACCAAGCATCAGCGGCTCTATGGTAATGGATATCCGTTCGCCATCTGTTTAGAGCGCTCCTGGAGGTGTCTCATCAGCGCATTCACATGACTAATGAGCGCCTCTAATCAGGCGATAACTGTATCTGACCCTTGAAACTCCAATCCCTTCATTCCATTGGGACCGATGATAGACATGCGCCTCCCAAGCGTGTCTAGCTGGCATGGGGAGAGCACTCAGCAGCTCGCGTTTCATCTTCACTGATGACATAGTTCCTACAATTATGTCGCGGGATCGATCGCAAGAGTTACCAAGTGCAACGATTTGCAGTGCGCTTTGAACAGAGATAACTTCGACTAAAAAAATTCTCATTACCAAACACCCAAAGGTTGGCTCGTACGCTTCACCCATGATCATAACAGAGCGTAAGAGACGCTCTGTTATGATCATGGGTGAAGCGTAAGGAAATGCCAACTTTGCTCTATTACATGAGTGAGATAACGTAAGTAAATGCCAACTTTGCTCGGCTATTACATGAGTGAGATACATTTAGTATCAATTATGTCTGAGCTCATACTTTATATATATATTCGATAAAGATGATCTATATTGCTTTATGTGCGACAAACAGTCCAAGCATAAAACGGACATCGCCTTCACGTAGCGTCTCTCATCATTTCATGAGAAATTATACTCCTGTACCTCAGAATGCCCATATTACTTAAAAGTGCGTTGTGAATGTTGTATAATTGTAACAATCGTACAGCAATGTATGCTGCGCAATTGCACATAAATTTAACGTGTACGTACAGAATGGTACCGTTCGCACCCCGTTACAGCATTTGAAACAGTGTACAAGGTCTAGATCAATCCATTACATAAAATAAGCCTGTAGCGGGGTACGTACGGTACTATTGCGTATTGATTAACTCAAACTTTTGTGCATTTGTTAACCAATATATTTGCATGATTCTTTAAAAGTCACATTACACTTCGGTATGAATGTAAGTATTTTAGAGGTACCACAGACTCGATTCTAATGGAAACGACGGGATTTTGATAAAGAGGAGGATTACTGAACACGCAATGCAGCGGGGCTGCCGTAGCGTAACTTAGGTCACCGGCCTTCCTTTCTTTACTTAGAACAAGTACGAGTTTAGCGGATCGCAATCCGCTTACTCCAAGAGTAATTTTCGCCTTAACCCAAGGCTAATTAACTCTTTCGTTTAAATCCAAAACTTATTTTATTTATTTTTTCATCTGCGGCAAAGCCGCCTTATGGAGATCCTAATATATATATAGTAAAATCTAAATACATAAGTACTGGCTACCCAGACCACGTACCGTATTCTTATTTTGTGCAGTCACACTATGCCCATCTCGTGTGACACACACACATGTTATCAGGTACGTGTAATTCGTTACACGCAAGCTATTAGCCTCGCGTCAACAATGCGAAGTTCATTATTGAAAAAGTCGAATGTATATTCCTAGCACTAGTCTGGATCGAAATTACCTTGTTATATGTCATTTTCGATAAAAAAAATAAGTGCATATATAGTCTTGAGGCTCTCATTTCGCTCCTGATTGGAGTAGCCTCTGTGCATTGTGTGCGCACACTTAATTTTGTTGACGCACCACCAATATAAGGAGCTCGACAACCCAGTTGCACTTGTGAACACCCGTTTTCGAATCCACAAACAAGTGGTGAGAGGATTTTGTTCAATCTGTTAGGATTGAACAAAAAATGTACTTCCAAAAAGTAGATTAACTTAACAACGCCACCGTTCTCGTCGAGAAGAGTCGGCGGCATCTATACTGAGTCCCGATGGCACAAGGGAACTGGTAGCCAAGGGCTGGAAGCAATGACGTGTCTGGAGGTACTTACCAGCTTTGAGATTGCATCAGAGAGCCACGTCTAGGAGCGTTCCAACCGGGCGCCGGTGGGTAACAGATGATTTCTTCCGTGAGACCGCTGATATTTTGAGCATTAAATCCTGTATAGTCAAACCGAAAAAAACATTCCATTAATTTAGGCAAATCATGATTGATATGGATTGAACAAAGCTTCAAACAAAGCGACAGTGCGTCGCGCTGAAGGTATTCGAGCTAGGAGGCTGCGCGGAGTAGGGGAGCCAGCGTCGAAAACCTCAGTAAAAGAGAAGTTGCAAACGTGAGACAAATTTAAAGCGACAGATGTCGCAGGTATCTGCAGGTCTATCGGGTGCGCTCGAGCACTTGTCTGTCCGTCAAGGAGTGCAAAAACTGACGGAATTTTTCCAGGTGCTGAAAACTCAAACCGACGCAATTGCGACCCGCTTCTGAAAGCGATAGTGGCTTCAACCTTCACAGAAGGTATCCGAAAGCGTGCGGCTTGCACTGAAAGTTTTACTTTCACCATATTTTTTTTGAGGAAGCGGTGAGCATTGCATCTAGTGCGGAGTACAACTTTTGTGCCGTGAAGGGAGGGCGGGATGCTGAAAATGGAAGAGCTACGAGCGCGCCAAAGGTCGATATACCCCAGCCACGATGAGAGATCTCTTAGTTGCCCGACAGCTCCACGATCTCCGCTGACATTTCATTGACGGTGGAAAAAATACATCTGCGTGTTGCGTGCTGACTTCGCTGTCGGATGGCAGATGCGAAGGTCGGGCTTACATGCTATGTCGAAGGACACATGCTTCGTGAGGGAAGTATGGATACATTCAGTAATTTGTGCTAGAGCGTACAGCGCACGTTTGGCAGAAGTTGTTACAGTACAAGCAGCCATTAAAGATGCCGAATACGGACACAGTACCCGTGTGTCTCGCGACAGGAAATTGAGTAATGTGCTGAAGGTTAAACAATTTGACAGATTAGACCGTGGACTAGTCTCGGGCTTAGATTTGAGATCTGACCCCACCATAGCGATGGCATGGACGAATCTTCGAGATTTATGGGGTTTCCGGAATTGAAACCACTGAGGAGTTACACCATTTATTCATGCTGGGGCATTATAAAGTCACGCGCCCACCCTCACGAGAAAGCAGAAGCACTTTAGTGTGGGCTTAAAGCCTCATGTAGTGTAGTGCTCGGCAAAACCCATGTCTTGACATAGACTTGGCTAAGTAATGAAGCAAAATATTGTTTGGTGCTTTGAGTACACCCTAGACGACGGAGCCGTGGTGAGCCTCGGGTCTATAGTGTGGCGGTACAAAACTTTGTAAAGTTAAAAATCTCAGATGCCACTTTATTCCAGCGCTCATTTGCACGACAATACCTTATCACAAGGCTCGCTGTATTTCAGCAATGGTTCGCTTGACACTTGACATGCGGTGTTGCTCCATTATATCATGACATCAGGAAAGTCATCTGTTGCAGGGCACATGTTACATTGTTGGTGGCCACCAAGAAAAGTAGCCATACGGCTCAGTGAGCCTTATGCATTGGTGGTTTAACAGATATAAACGGTCTTCATGGTTTAACGGTCTGAACGTGCGCTGCATGCGTTTGGCCACCCTGGTATAAAAATCTCTTCATTTTCATTCAAGTCATCAGTGAAATTTTCAAGATAACGATGCGTTGGAAGTAGAAGAAAGATTTCTCATTCTGATGCGCAAATACGTAAGCACCGGAGACTGTGGATCTGTTTCAGCCTCTAAATAGGCGTGCTTTTTGGAGTGTATTTTTCGCGACTATCTAAAGTAAACTTGACGAAATAAAACTTAGTGACTGTGACTTTTCACGAAAAAATGAGCTTGTAACTCAAAAATCAAACTTGAAAAGAAGAAATAATTTGATGCAAAGTTTTTTCGACATTATTAAACGATATTATAGCTAACAGAGCAACTGACAAGTCAATTTAATATCAATAGAAAAATCCTTGTTGGTGTGTTTTGTAAACGTTGAGCATCACCGTAACGCTAGCGAAAAGGCATCTCTAAATATCGATTAAAGTTGGTGTTTCGACGACTATGATTCATCCAAGAGCAGTATACATGGCAAAAAAAATTCATCCAAGCGTTGAAATTTATACTTGTGTTTCTGAGAAAGAAAGTTTTCTTCCGCCAAATCCAATTAAACAAAGTTATTGGGTAGTGATTATTGAGCTTTTTACGGCTATACACCTTGTGCAACGAGGTTGCTGCAGCGGGCTGCCGTAGATAAATGCTTAGAAGAATCTAAGCTAAAGTCATCGATCTTACGCTCAATACAAGAACCAGTACGAGTGTAGCGGATCGCAATCCGCTACCTCCACGAGTACTTAAAACGTTAATCAAGGCAAAGACGCTCTTCCGTTTAAAACTAAAAGGTATTAATTTCATTTATTTGCAGCAGAGCCGCCTATATCTTAAACCTTAAATTTTCCTCATTAAATAGTAAAACCTTTTAGATAGGCATAACTACTGACCGTCCTGCCATGTAATGGCTTCTTGTTTCGGTGTAGCCACACCAATGTGTAACTACACCAGCTTGTGTAATCCACACCTTTGTACGTTCACACCAGCTTGTGTAATCCACACCTTTGTACGTTCACACCATCTTGTGTGACGCGACCATTCATATAATTCCATTACACCCCCCATCAAAATTGCGAATATCCACAATTCACTTTTGATTGTCGATTCATAAGAGGCGCGCATATCTGAGACACGGGAACGTTCCTAAGATAATCTGTGAACATTCTCCGCTCAATGAACCATGTGTCTATCACACGAAAAACACCCAGCCTAGCTGGTTCCGAGGGCGCCCGCGGGCAAAGCCCTTCTTCTTCTGCACGGGGTGAATCTCCGGCAGTACGTCCGCGGCTTCACGGTAAGCAAATCCCAAGCCCTCGGCTACCGGGCGCCACACACCGCGCTCGCCACGGTTGACAAATTTACTTGTCGAAGATTCGGAGGAAGTCGACTACGAGTCGGATACTCCTGTTCCAGCATGGGAAGACTCACGTCGCGCCGTTGGCGCACCTCACCTTCCTCAAATCTTGTGAACACTGTGTCTGTTTCCCGACCTCTCGACTTCCAGGAGTGGTGGTATTATTACCAACCGCATCGACGAAGCACATGAGCAACAGTTGCCGGCTACCCGCAGGGCGGATATCATGCGCTCGTACAATGTCTGGTCCTAGACCCTCGAGTAACATACGGCTTCCGCTAGGCGGATCCCGCACCTGAAGCGAAAGACGCGATCACTCGATCGTTAGGCATCTACGTAGTCGGAAACCCGGCCTGAGCTTGACCAGCGAAAAGCTCTCCGAGCTCGCTTCTTGATACCCCAAGGATTCCCAAAACATAGACACCGCGCTCGACTTTGAGCTCAAAAAGGAGGCGCTCCTGTACCCGCAATGCGGACTATTCCAGTGGTACTCGCCGCTGCGGACGATGATGTGACCTTTAAGCGATGGGTGCAGCGGCACCGGAAACTATCTTTGCTGTCTTCCTTACAACGAAGTCACAAGGAAGTGGATGTGCGCATAGATCGCCATCTTCGATTTGAGTTTGCCAAACTCAAGGTGCAACGCCAACTTCCTGCGTATTGTCGCCCTGCGACACATGATATACTCCATCA